CAAAAATCTATAATCAATTTTATGGGCAGTGATTTAAATTTTTAGTGGCTCTGAGGGCACATTGGTAATGTAGATGTACATCGATGTACATCAGTGTTTATTTTATTTAGTCAGAGAGAAGCATTAAGGGGCAGTAAAGCAATAGCAAAGAACTCCAGACTGATAGCACTAACATCCCATATCATAAAAATCTTTGAAAGGGTCCTAAGGAGCAAGATCGCCACCCATCGAGATACCCATCAATTACACAAGCCAGGTCGCTCCTGTCTGTCCCTACTACTGGATCACTACAACAAGGTCCTGGATGCACTAGACGACAAAAAGAATGCAGATGTAATATACACAGACTTTGCAAAAGCCCTCGGCAAGTGTCACCATGGCGTAATAGTGCTAAAGGAATAACAGGAAAAGTTGGTAGATGGATCTATAACTTCCTGACAAATAGAATACAAAGAGTAGTAGTCAACAGAGTAAAGTCTGAGGTGGCTACGGTGAAAAGCTCTGTTCCACAAAGTACTCGCTCCCATCTTGTTCCTTATCCTCATGTCAGACATAGACAGGGATATAAGCCACAGTGCCGTATCTTCCTTTGCAGATGACACCCAAATCTGCATGACAGTGTCTTCCATTGCAGACGTTGCAAGGCTCCAGGCGGACATCAACCAAGTCTTTCAATGGGCTACAGAAAACAATATGAAGTTCAACGATGAGAAATTTCAATTACACTCCGATATGGTAAGCGTGAGGAAATTAAAATTTCATCAGAGTATAAAACAAATTCCAACTACACAATAGAGCAAAAAACTAACGTCAAAGTCCTGGGAGTGATCATGTCGGAGGATCTCACCTTCAAGGACCATAACATTGTATCAATCGCATCTGCTAGAAAAATGACAGGATGGATAATGAGAACCTTCAAAACTAGGGATGCCAAGCCCATGATGACATTCTTCAGGTCACTTGTTCTATCTAGGCTGGAATATTGCTGCACACTAACAGCACCTTTCAAGGCAGGAGACATTGCTGACCTAGAAAATGTACAGAGAACCTTCACGGCGCGCATAACAGAGATAAAAAACCTCCATTACTGGGAGCACTGAAGTTCCTGAACCTGTACTCCCTGGAATGCAGTCGGGAGAGATACATGATTATATACACCTGGAAAATCCTAGAGGGACTAGTACCAAACTTGCACACGAAAATCACTCCCTACAAAAGCAAAAGACTCGGCAGATGATGCAACATCCCCCCAATGAAAAGCAGGGGTGTCACTAGCACGTTAAGAGACAACACAATAAGTGTCAGGAACCCAAGACTGTTCAACTTCCTCCCAGCATACATAAGGGGGATTACCAACAGACCCCTGGCTGTCTTCAAGCAGGTACTGGACAAGCACCTAAAGTCGGTACCTGACCAGCCGGGCTGTGGTTTGTATGTTGGATTACGTGCAGCCAGCAGTAACAGCCTGGTTGATCAGGCCCTGATCCACCATGAGGCCTGGTCACAGAACGGGACGCGGGGGCGTTGACCCACAGAAGTTTCTCCAGGTAAACTCCAGGTAGGATAATCAAATAAAGTCAAACAATATACTAACTTACTTCCACTGGGGTTACTGGTGAGTAAGTTTTTATTCAGGTACACATAAATACAGTTACATAGATGATTATACACAGCATATGTGTAGATTACCTAGGTTAACCAAAAAAAAATCAAAGTGATTTATTTCCATTGGGGTCAAAAGTTTGTGGCTATACCAATTATTTTAATTAAAATAAAATTCTGGACGATTATTGTATAAGTATATTCATCCAAGATCTGAATCAATTTGCTCAGACGAAATTACCTTAAGATTCTCTAGTATTTACCTTCATGTTGGGAGTTTATAGAGCCATGAGGAGTCTGGGTTCGATTCCAAGCGAGGGTAGAAACACAGGACGTGTTTCTTTACACAGATTGTCTATGTTCACCATCAGTGGCCTGGTGGCTGAAGCTTCCGCTTCACACACGGAGGGCCCGGGTTCGATTCCCGGCAGGTGGAAACATTTCGACACATTTCACGTTACTGAATTCACAAACACAATGAGTAACTGCATGTTGCTACCAACAGTAACAAAACCTACAAGAGTTACAGAGACTAGTGTTTCCCTACTTGACCACATCTGGACCAACACCATATCCCCTTTAAAATCAGGCATAATTACAGATAATACCACAGACCACTACCCTACTTTCCTCATAACAACTCTTGGTAAAATACCCCAAGACACTACTAAAGTCACCTTCAGACTTCACAATGAGGCAGCCATTAATAACTTCACAACAGCAGTAACAAACATTGACTGGCACACTGAGCTAGAAATCTATACAGATATTGACGAATGTTTTAATAATTTTCTAAAAAGACCCAATACCTTTATAACAAGCACTGCCCTAAAAAAAACTAAACAGATGACAGCTAAGAGACTGAACAGTCCCTGGCTAACACCCAGCATTCTCAAATCCATAAATACAAAACACCGATATGAAAAACAGTACAGAATGGGTCACATAACCAGAGACCAAACAAAACGTTACTCGTCAATCCTAACCAGCCTGATAAGAAGGGCCCAAAAAATTGTATTATGAGAACAGATTATCCAACTTACGAGGTGATATAAAAAAGACCTGGAAGACCCTATCAGAAATTCTGGGAACAAAAAAGATATCACGACATAGCGAAATAAAATTAGCAAAATCAGATGAACCCCAACTCCCACCAACAGAAACAGCAAACAGACTCAATGATTTCTTCTCCACTATAGGTCAAAACCTTGCCAATAATATCCCAAGCTCAGATACCCCCAAAAAGACTACCTCACTGGCAACTACCCGAACACACTGTTCCTAGCTCCGACTAACCCATACGAAGTCTCCCTTATTATCAACGCACTGAAAAACAAGGCAGGAGATTTAAATACCTTACCACCCTTTATATACAAAAAAGCGTCACAAGTACTATCACCAATCATTGCAACACTCTTTAACAAATCCATTGAATCCTCCACCTTCCCTACAGTTCTCAAAATAGCAAGGGTCACCCCCATCCATAAAGGAGGAGACCAAACAGAGTTGAATAACTATAGGCCAATATCCAATTTACACCCTCTCTCAAAAATCTTCGAAAAATTAATTCATAAACGAATCTACTCCTACCTCATCTCACATAACATTCTCAACCCCTGCCAATTTGGATTCAGGCCTAATAAAAATACTAATGATGCTATTATACACATGCTAGAACATATATACACTGCAATAGAGAAAAAAGAAGTCCCACTAGGGATCTTCATTGACTTACGTAAAGCTTTTGATACAGTTGACCATGAATTGGTCCACGTAAAATTCTCACACTATGGTATAAGAGGGCACTCCCTCAACTACCTCAAGTCATACCTCAGCAACAGAAGCCAATATGTGTACGCAAATGGGGCAAGCTCTTCCGCACAACCAATTACAGTTGCTGTCCCACAGGGAAGTGTCCTTGGCCCTCTTCTCTTTCTCCTATACATAAATGACCTACCAAATGCTTCGCAATTACTCAAACCCACACTTTTTGCAGATGACACTACATACGTCTTCTCTCCCCCGAGCCCGTCACGCTAGAAAATTTACTGTAAACCGAATTACAGAAAATATTACCTGGTTTGAGGACAAAACCAAACTTACACTAAACATTGACAAAACCTACTTCATTCAGTTTGGTAGCAGAGCTACAGATGTCCCTCTTAACATAATGATAAACGGTCACCTATCACAAAAACTAACAGAGGGAAAATTCTTAGGAATCCACCCTCGATAATAGACTCAAATTTCATAAAATATACAAAAAATTTTCTAGAAAATTTCCAAGACTGTGGGCATACTATCGAAGATACGGTACTATGTTCCACAGTCAGCCCTCCTGGCCCTATATCACTCTCTTATTTACCCCTATCTCACCTATGGAATTTGTGCATGGGCTAAAACAACAATTAACCATCTCAGACCACTAATTACCCAAAAAAAGGCCCTGCAGTTAGAATGATAACAAATTCTCACTACAGGCAGCAAAACTCCACAATATTCAATACACAAAACCCTACTCACCATACAAAACATCATACTTATTACTGCACCTATTACATACATAGAACATTTAAACCCTCTGATATTAACCCCCCCCTCAAACATCTCCTTGCCAACCTCAACAGAACACATGACCATAAACACAAGGCACAGATCACTTTTTGATGTTCCTCGTGTCCATCTCACGCTATGCAAAAATCAATGTACATAAAAGGCCCTAAAATCTGGAATTCATTACCTGTAAATATAAAAGAAACACTACCTGTTTATAAATTCAAAGTCTCTTCTCAAAGATCACTTACTCACCCAAACCAAATAATTACTGAATAAACTGAACCATATAAATTGTATATCTTAAATGTTTCTCACAATTATTTTACATAAATGTTAAACCTAAGCCCCAATCCAACTTTTTTTTAAATACACTACCTAACAGAATACTCCATTCTACTGAATGTACAACAATGCATGCAACCATATGACCTGTCTTTGTAATATTCATTTGTGCTTTATTGTTATCTGTTTACAATAATGTTTTATCACTGATTACATCATTGCTTAGTTAATCTTAAGTTAATTTTAAGCCAGCCCGTAATGCTATGCATACAAGTGGCTTTGGCATGCTGCTCTTACCTGTATTTTTTTGTACCTCTGTTTGTATGCTAAAATTTCTAAATTTCCTTACACATGTTGTCCTGTGTACCTAGCAGCAAATAGGTACCTGAGTGTTAGTCGACTGGTACGGGTCGCATCCTGGGATAAAACTGACCTAATTTGCCAGAAATGCTGTGCATAACAAGCGGCTTTCTATGCAGTAGTATGTTACTGATGTCAGGTGGGACTGTATACCTTGTACATGTACTTGTAGAAATAATAGTATTATATTTACTACTAACCCTGTATCTGTTGCTGGTGTTGTGGTTATTCAGGGCCACCAAAGTTGGCGCTTTATTGAGCCATACTTTACGGACTCCCGGAAAAAAGATATTGCCCATATCTGTCCAGTCACTGGACCCATTATGTACCTTTGTAATCTTTTGACTACCCCCCACAGGATGGGAATGGGGTGAAAAATAAACATATTTAAAATAAGTGTGTTTTGTGTGTTGTGTGTGTGTGTGTGTGTGTGTGTGTGTGGTGTGTGTGTGTGTTGTGTGTGTGTGTGTGGTTTTGTGTGCGTTTTGTGTGTGTACTCACTATTGTGGTTTTCAGGGGTCGAGTCCCAGCTCTGGCCCCGTGTGTGTGTTTTGGGGTGTGTGTGTGTGTGTGTGTGTGTTTGTGTGTGGGGTGTGTGTTGGGTGTTGTGTGTTGTGTGTGTTGTGTGTGTGTGTGTGTGTGTGTGACTCAAAATCATTTGCCCTAACTCATTACAGTTGTGACCGGGTGTGGAAGTGTGAAAATTTCTATTACTCTTAATTTGTTCATGATTGTTGTCATGTATAAACGTAAGTAACCATTCTTTCAGTATTCATTACATTTGTAACTTTGAGTTCATTACATTTGTACCTAGTTCAGTATCAAAACTTTGGGGGCCCCCGTTCCTGGACCATTACGTACCTCTGTAATCTGTAAATAACCCTTTTTAACTTGTCTGATTGTGACAGACTTTCCGGAGTTCATTACCTTTGTAAAATTTTGAGTTCATTTACTTTGTAAAAATTTTGGAAATTGAGAGTTTGACACTAGTGCAACATCTGGGTATCTTTATTGTGGGCGTTTCGCATCCCGTGGGGTTTATCAATACAAAATTTCCCGGGGCATAACAGTAGACAGTAAACTAGTACAGAAAAAAAGGGTAATTTAGTCCCTCAACCTAGGAGTAGTGCGAACGCACCATAGTCGTGGAGATTCTGAAGCAGAAGAAAGAATCTGGCGCTTATATAGTAAGTCAGGTGAAACAGACGAGGGCAAAATTTACGGGGGGGGATTCCGTGGAAGTAGGTCCTTCCCAAAAAGAGGGGTTTGTTGTGAGTAGTTGTCATAGTTGTGAAGGTTATTAATGTCCCCAGAATTTAAAAATCCATGTGTTTTTCAGTGTCTGACAAGTTGTGTACGAATGGTATATATACCCACAAGATGGAGTAAGACCATGTGCAAATCTGGGTTCTTTATTGTAGCTTTTGCCCTCCGTGGTTATCAAAAAAAATTCCAGGACATAATTGTAGACGTAGAACTTGTACGAAGAGAGGAAAAATCCCTCAAAACCCAGGGTAGTTTCGAACGCACCATAGTCGTGGAGATTCTGAAGCGAAGAAAAATCCTGGCGTTTTTAGTAAAAGTCGGTGAAAACAGACGAGGGCAAATTCATGGTGGGGGGGATTTCCCCCGTGGAAGTGGTCCTTCCCCAAAAAGATGGGTTAGTTGTAGTAGTAGTTGTCATAGTTGTGAAGGTTATGTACAGTTTGAAATTAAAAATCCTGATGTTGCAGTGTCTGACAAATTGTGTAGAAAGGTAAATGTAATAAAACCTTAAAAAAAAATTTTTTTAAATATATACAAACTTTAACTTTTTTTTAAAGGGCCTTTTTTCACCTGGGGGGAAACCCCCCACCATGAATTTCCCCTCTCTTAGACTTCTTATAAGCCCCGGATTCCCTTTTTTCTGCTTCAGAATCTCCCGATAGGTGTGTTCGCACCACTCCAGGTTGAGGGTGATTACCTCATTTCTGACATGTTCTACTGTTACAAGTTTTGCTGGAATTTGTATTGATAAAGCCATGGATGGGGAAAGTCTACAATAAAGATACCCCGATGTTGCACAGTGTCTTACTCCATTGTGGTATTTTTATACCCTTCGTAACCAAATTTTGAGTTTATTTCCCTTTTTAAATTTTGAGTTCATTTTTCTGTAACTTGCCGCTATCAAAACTTTTGGGGTCCAGTCCCCGGACCAAATTTTGTACCTCTGTAATCTTTTGACTACCCCCCAAGGATGGGTATGGGGTGCATATAAACATATTAAACTAAACTAACCATATCTGGGCGGGAAGTTGGAAGGTAAGAAAGTTTTCCCCGGAAAGCAAATCGGGATCATTAAATTCCCAACTTAGATCAGGTAGGTATAAAGTTTGTCAGGAAACAAAGCAAATGTTTCCCCAACTTAGATCAGGTAGGTACAAGGTTAAGATACGAGTTCGTTCGGATTTTTAACCCTGGAGGGTTAGCCACCCAGGGTAACCAAAGAAAGTCAGTGCGTCATCGAGGACTGCCTTTCTTATTTCCATTGGGGTCCTCAATCTTGTCCCCCAAAATGCGACCCACACCAGTCGACTAACACCCAAGTACCTATTTGCTGCGAGGTGAGTAGAACAGCAGGTGTAAGGAAACGCGTCAAAATGTTTCCACCCTGCCGGGAATCAAACCCGGGACCTCCGTGTGTGAAGCGAGAGGTTTGCCAGCCAGGCGACGGGGGCACTCGGGGGCACCCACCAGGTGCCAATGAACTTACACTTAATATTGGCAAAACTTTCTGTATTATGTCTTGGAGCAGAACAAGTGATGTCCAACTAAACATTGTGATTAACAATACCCTTATTGTTAAACATTATACTGTTCACTTCACTGGTCAACAATTTTTGAAAAGTTGTATGCTTCCTAAATGAGATTAGTTAATTTTTATGTATTTTCATGTCCTGAATCCAGATATCACCTTGAAAAATGCTTATTGGCTATAGGTTTAAATAAACGAGACATGCAATATTTTATTATTTAATTATAACATACAATAGGTCAGTATGTTTTAAACTCTAATCCGTACCTACTCTCTGCTTTTTTGCTTGACGCTTATAGTGGGCTGAGGAATCGTCTCATGCTAATGTCCAGCAATAGTCTGCAAGCATTCTTGTGCCCCATTTACCCTGGTACCATTTTTCCATGGTTGAAATATCTTAGTGAAACCTTTCACCATGTTCGTCACTAACTGCCCCACAGTTCGCCGGAAAAAAGAAAAGTCTAAATGTGAGTCCAAAACGTGGATTTTAAGTGACATGTTACATCCCATGTTCTTCTAAGCCTTGATGAGGTTTTCCATCAATTCTTCATAGTTGCCTTCCCTTTTGTTTCCGAGAAATCTCTTCGCCACTAACTTGAATGCTTCCCGAGCAACTTTCTTCTCGTGCAAGAAAGGTATATAATACCGACAAGATGAAAGTTAAGACACATATGCAACATCTGGTTATCTTTATTGTTGACGTTTCGCCATCCAGTGGCTTTCAATACAGATTCTAGGACATAACTAGAAGACAGTAGAACTATATACAATAGATGAGGTAATCTGTCCCTCAGTCTTGGAGTTGGTGTGAAGAGCAGCGTCTGATTGATGTTGTAGTGGCCAGGCTTAGGCTTGGTTACAAGTACTTGCAGGTAATAATTCAGGTAATTCCCATTTCTGACATAGAGATGTAAGATAAATGTAAGGTTCTGAAGCTCGGAAGTGTCCATAACCCTAGCACTATTGATAAAGCCACTGGATGGCGAAACGTCTACTACAATAAAGATATCCTTAGCGGATGACACCTGGATCACCTTGGCAGTGACCTCCATCGAAGACACTGCGAGACTCCAAGCGGACATCAACCAAATCTTCGAATGGGCCACTCAAAACAATATGAAGTTCAATGAGTAGAAATGTCAACTACTCAGATATGGAAAAACTTGAAGAAATTAAAAATGTCAGGGTATAACACAAATTCTAACCATACAATCAAATCAAATCAAATCAAATCAAAGTTTATTCTCTATAAGGATTACAATGCAGGGCTTACATATTTTGGTTATTGTGTGGTTTACATGTAGTAAAATACTAATTACAGAGGGGGCCACTAGAGCACCTAACATGGCTAGGCATTTCGGGAAAACTTAGATTAATTCTTAACCCTAAATTATAACAAATTGTGGAGTAAGTTGACTAAATATTAAGTGGCTAAATACTAAGTGACAAATACTAGTTTGTGAGTTTAGCAATGTGAATGCTTTTGTTTTGGCACAATACATAGTTTCTATATTGGAGTATCACAGGCAAACTTTTGACTAGTTAGGAATCATTATTTTAAGATTGGGATATGTATTTCTGTGCTTATAGTCAAATGGGTGAGTGAGTGTAAGCGTGGACCACCAGGTGGTTTTTATGTAGTTAGTTGATGGGGTTATCAGGGAGATAAGATGTTTTCTAATGGTAGTTATGAAGGTGATGAATGTGTCTGCAGTTCTAGAGTTTTCAGGTAGGGTGTTCCAGATTTTAGGGCTTTTGACATACACTGAATTTTTGTAAAGGTTTAGTCAGACACGGGGAATGTCGTAGAGATGTTTGTGTCTGGTGTTATGCCTGTGGGTCTTGTCACAACTATCAAGAAAGCATTTTAGGTCAAGGTTAATATTGGAATTTAATGTCCTGTGTATGTAGATTGCACAGTAGTAAGTGTGGATGTTCTGAACAGGGAGTAAGTTTAGATCTATGAAGAGTGGTGGGGTGTGTTGCCAGGGATGGGATTTAGTGATTATTCTTATTGCAGCTTTTTGTTGAGTTATTATAGGCTTTAGGTGTATTGCTGCAGTTGATCCCCAAGCACAAATAGCATAGGTGAAGTATGGATAAATGAGTGAATGGTATAGTGTGAGAAGGGCATTTTGCGGCACGTAGTATCGTATCTTGGAGAGGATCCCAACTGTTTTGGATACTTTTTTTTTGATATGTGTTGGATATGGGTGCTGAAATTCAGGTTGTTGTCGAGGTATAGGCCTAGGAATTTGCCCTCATTATGTCTGGCAATTAGAGTGCTGTCGATCTTAATGTTAAGTTGCACAGCACCTGCTCTGCTACCAAACATTGCAGAGTCACTTGTTTGCACAGAACTGCTTAATGCCTCAAATGATGTAGTGGAAATTTTAGCAGTAAAGGTCGAGAACCAAAACCTAGTCATTGTGGTAGTCTACAAGCCTCCAGATGCAACATCCCAGCAATTCCAGGAACAGCTGTTAAAAATTGACCACTGTCTGGAAAATCTTCCAGCTCCTGCACCCAACATCTTGCTCCTGGGGGATTTTTTTTTTTT